ATACCTATGGTAGTGGGTTTTTAAAAGATGACCAATGGCAATTTTGATCAGGATTTCTTAAACATACTCTTGTCTAAAGTACTATGAGACTGTTTTGGCTGGGGGTAGATGTGAAAAGTTAGAAAACTGGAAAGAGAAAATAAGCTTATACGTTAAAAATAAATTCCTATATGTTACATTTTTGTAGTATTCTGGTTAAATAGAATTTGATCAGTCTTTCTAATGGTATTTTTGGCTGGAGAAACATTACTGTTTAGACACTTTTGGTAAGTGGCTGTGCTTTTACTTAAATAATTGATCGAAATATTTATATACTGCTGATTTAAATTTTAAGTTCAGATAGGCTGATCGTATAGAAGCAATTCCAAGGTTTTCTTTTCCAGGAGAATGGAAGCAGTCTGGTTTGAGGTGTTTGAGAGAACTAGCAGCTCCTATACTATTGCCTGCTGTGATTTACAGATTTGTACATTTTACCTAGGAATACAAGAAGCTAGATTTACTGACACAATGATTTCTCGTGTCTGTTTTTATGTTGCCTTAAGTATAGTTGCTGCCATCTTTAATCATCTGTCTGTCTTCTTCCAATAGTTATTTTATTCTGATGTCTGTGTTCCTATTATGTCTTTATTTTTTATAAATCTTGAGTTTCGTATTATTTTTTTTTAAATCTTCTGGTCTATGATTCCATTTTCCTTCTGTTCTTTAATCAGTAGAAGCTTACCAGTTGAAATACAGGCACTTACTGACAGTTTCATGATACCATCTCTAAGTTGCCTCTTTTTCTGAAAAAGTCCTTTTCTTTCTAGCAGTTTGTCATGCTATTTTAGGCAGTTTTATGTAAATAGAAGATAAAACATTGAAATGCGTTAACAGCATTGATGTAGCTTTTTATTTAAGAGTTTCAGCTCAATTTCATCTAATCAGAACAACACATAGTCACTGATGTCTTAAGAACCTTGATAAAATACATCAGAAACAGAATAAAAGGAAAATCAGTTTGCAGCACCCTGGCTTTCCTGCAGCCAAGTGATGAAGTGTTTTATAATGAAGCTAGGATAAAAAGGCAGTTTTGTTTGAGTTTTAATTAGTATTAGGTTCAGACTGTGCTATGTAGTGCAGGTTTTGAATACTAGTCAATAATGATAAAGTTTTGCAAGTTCTTTTTATTGATTTCTGAACAGAAGAACAGGACTTTTCTTCCACCATTTTTTTTAGGAAGTATATGATATAAGCTGTCTCCTCTTGGGATTTTTTAATGTTTAAATTAGTGGTAAAATTGTGTGCTGAAGTTACTTTTGAGGTCAACACAAGATGCTGATCTAATATCCCAGAAACGTGGAAGGAGAAAGCAATGGCCAGCTTTTGTTTTAGACTCATATTGCTGTAAAATAAAGGAATATTGGAGTAAATTTAATGGGAAGAAAAGGATCTGATTACCTGTCAATTTTTGTGGGTGTGTTGATCACCTTGACAACTAAGCGCCATCATGAAATCCCAGGTGTGGGCATCTGGTTATGCAGAATTATAATAAAGTTATATGTGCAAAGTGGTTATTCAGAACTACTACCAGTTGCAGTGATACAGATGTCATATAGGGGATATAATGAAAGTGTAATTTCATGAATGAGTACATCTCTGAGGGATTATTAGTATGAACCTTGATGGGTGCAGAGAAGATGGCACAAGTATTTTATCACAGATATAAGTATCCAGAGTTCCATTCAGTACAGTTCAGGTTAAAAGAAACTATTCCTGATGTTTTTATGGATGTTTTTTATTGTTGTGGTGGTGGTGGTTTTATTTTTGTAAGTTTTTTTTATTAGGGTCTCTGGGCTTTTTATTAAAATAAATTAAAAAGACAAAGCAGCATCATTCCAAAAATGATGAAATGGATAAAAATCTGGTTTCCTTAGGCTGTAAGGACTTTATGAAATGTTCAGAATATCTCTTGGTTAGCTGTTTAGGCAAATTTGAAACTGTCCAGATGACTTCAGAGAGTAACATCATCAGTATAACCTATCATGCATAGAAATTGGTAGTGTCCTTGAATCAGTACCCCAAAAGTATACCCCTGAATCAGGTACCCCAAAAGAAAAAAATGTGTTGTAGAACAACATAAATTCAAGAACCGAGTCTTGTGGGAGTCTCCAAACATTTGAATCTGATTGAAAGAAAACCCATGCAAAATAATAAAGTGGGAGTCATTTTCTGATCTTCTCCAGAATCCAAAAGTCTGCTTCATTTTACCATCAGGGATAGAGAAGAAAAGCTTTTAAGTCAGCCAGCATCAGAGTGATTCATAAAGCAAACAGGAAAAGTATTATGAGGCAAGGCTTCATGCTATGATAGACATATAAGAATACTCATCTTTGGCAGTCTATTCGTCTTTGGCTAAGGGGGTGGAAACTCTGGTTTGTATCCCTGGGTAATGTGTGGAATCCTGTTTATACTCCAGCTCAGTTTATGTGGCCTTGGGGAGCAAAGTCTGGTCTTAGAATTAGCTGTAATTTTTGCTGATCAGATAGTGGTATGACTGGCCAACTATTTTTCCATGACTTTTATAGCAGACCTATATGACAAATCTATGACATACTCTTATTTTTTTAAAACATTTGTGTGGTCAAGGTACTTGTTTTATCTGAGACAAACAGCTGGTGGTGACTGAGAGATTCACTGTATAGGTGATTTGCAATGATTTCTTTATATAATGTGGAGAATTAGTTGTAAATAAAAAACAAGGAGAAAGGACCATTCAGATATACTTTCTCATAAATGCCCAGTGCAAAATTAGAAATTCACTATTGTCATATGTTAGAGGTAGTTTAAATATACATACATTTATCTGCAATATATTTAATGTAATAAAAAAGCATGCAGACCTACTTAACTTCAGGTATGCAGTCAAACACGTGCACCTAATCTGACTTTTGCATGCAGTGCTGTGGTTTATCAAGATACCAATAGGCTATTTCAGGTCAGAATCTAATTTAGCAGTTTATCTAACTGTTATGTTTTTGTGCATCCCTTCTATGAAAGCAGCAGAGTGGGCAAAATAGAATAGGCAAGACAGAGCACATCCAACTCCTTCTTTATATTGTCAGGGTTCCTAAGAGCTTCAGTTACTGACTAAGGTATCATTGTTAGCTGTGGTACAAATAGGGAATGAAAAACTGCCCATGCCCCCAGGTATTTGCAGGCAAAGATCACTAACAGAGGAGTCTGAAAAATGAGATGAAACTAGTGTGATCTAAACATGGTCTTACTTTACCAGCCATTTGACTGTAACTTGGCTACTTAACTGTAATTCTACAGATCATAAGTGTTGACGTATTTCTGTATACATACAATTTTCTGTTACCTATGGACAGCTGCTTTTATTTTAACCAAAAATGTATGCCTAACCTGACAATATTGGGATGAGTGTCTTGATGTTATGTCCTGTCATACACAACTTTTCAAGTCAAGTAATCTATGTTCAGTTGAATGGAGCACATATGACTAACTTGTCTCTTTCTGTTATTTTAATATATTAGGCCACACAATTTTCTGAATGTATTTTATAAAGATGTTTATTATCAATAGATTTTAATTTAACAACATGCCCCAAATCACTTCTACTATAGTCTTTCGAGTGGTTGTTTCTCAAAGTCATTGATAAGCAATATGCTTGTTGCCAAATAGAACAAGAAATTCATTGATAGTTCATGACACAAAAAATTATGACTTTTAAGCTTGTGTGTTATTAGATAGGTGAGACCTGGAAATGTGCTAGGATAGGCTGGGGGGGGTTGATTGTTAGTCTGTCAGTTGATTGTGGAGTTTTACATTGTTTGCTTCATTTAAGAAAAGGGGATTTGAGAGGTGGGAATAAAGGTAATAAGGACCCACAGTGTTAGATTTTTCTGATGATCCTCCCTCCCTGAATATATGAGGATGAGCTAGGAGAGGCATAATTTGGGAGACACAATGGCTGAGGTTCTGGAGTTAGCTAATGTCTTTGTGGTGAATGAACCTAGCTTCTCAGCCTACCAGGTGTAAATGTATTTCATGGTTATAAAGTTAGTTCAAGTGTGTATGTGGAGCACTGGGGTAGAAAGAACCGGGAGAGAAAGACATCTACCATGGCAATCCTGTCCTTTAGAGGGGAAGGACTCCAAAGGACTAGAAACAGGACAATATCTGTCCTGTTTCAGTTTTGTTTTCTAATAAACTGCTCAGATGGTTTGTTGGAGGGGTATAAGCATCACGAGATTCTTAAATGATTGTGTTTCATTACAGCTTTACATTGTTTTATGTAGGTGTGTGAGTTTTTTGTTGAGATATCTCTTACCAAGATACAACTCCTGTGTTTTATAAGAGACCGAGTGCTGCTGTCTTCATACTGTTTTCTTATAAAGACCAGTAGACATTAATTCTGTTAACTGTATGTCTTAACTAATGCAATCTATTTTTCTTTCACCTGTGGATTAAGATGCATAAAAAATAGAATGAAAATGTGAAACTGAAATGTAATTGCTACTGTAGAGGGTGCTGCGTCAATCCCTTATGTAATTATTATCCTTAAAATGTCAAATTTAAATATAATGTCTTTAAATTGCTTATTTCAAATATTAGAGGAAAAACTAAGAAGAAACTACAGTAAAAGGTGTGAAATGACTTAACAGTGTTTGAATTACTAACGCAACTGAATTAATGAAGTTTTGATGTTTAGGCAGAAACAGCAGCATTGTTTTTGGACTAAGTAATTACTTGCTGGCTTTGTCACCGTTGACTTTAATAATTGATAGAGGTTTCAGAAATAGCGCATGTGCTGTCAGAGTTGACTGTAATATAAGTACTGCAGTGATGCTAGAGGGGTTATAGAGAGGGAAGCACCTGTAGCATTTGGGGTTACATGCTTCTAATCATCAGACTGCTATTTGTTGTAGTAAATTCACATGAGCGATTAAAATAATGGAAAGATGAGTCGTCAGGCTTACTTCTATCGTGTCCCTCCACAGGAATTGCATAGAAGAACCCAACTTCAGCCTGAGCCAGCAAAGACGAAGGCTCTTCAAACAGTTATTGAAATGAAGGTATGGTCTTTGTGTGTTTTCCCGTACATTACTTTTGTAGCATGAACTCATGTACTGGGTATGGGTGGGATGGAGTCAGTTTTCCTCGTAGCAGCCTGTGTGGTGCTATGTTTTGAATTTGGGACTAAAACAGCGTTGATAACATGCTGATGTTTTAGCTGTTGATGAGCAGTGCTTACACAGAGTCAAAGCTTTCCTAGTTTCTCACTCTCCTCCCACCGCAGCAAGGAGGTTGGGAGGGAATGCAGCTGGGACAGCTGACCTGAATTGACTGAAGGGATATTCTGTACCATAGAATGTCACGCTCAGCGATAAAACTGGGGGGAAGACATTCATAGTTATAGCATTTGTCTTCCCAAGTAACTGTTATGCATGATGAAGCCCCACTTCCCTGCAAATAGCTAAGCATCTGCTTGCCATTGGGAAGCAGTGAATGAATTTCATAATTTGCTTTGCTTGAGTGCACAGCTTTGCTTTACCTGTTAAACTGGCTTAATCTCGACCAACGAGTTTTCTGATGTTTGCCTTTCTGATGCTCTCCCCCATCCCACCCAGGGAGTGAATGAGCAGCTGTGTGACACTTAACTACCTACCAGGGTTAACCCACAACACCTCGATTTATAACTTTTACTATTAACTCATTAAATGCTTGCTTTTACTTCTCAACTTATTTTGTTGTGAAGCTAGGAATAATTAGTATTTATTTCCCCCAGACTATTTTTGTATTAAGACTTGATTAAAAAAATCAAGTGCAGCTTTGCTGAATAATGAGAACTGAATATTGCTTTTAAAAAGATGGGGGTGGGGAGAATTTCAGGTGAGCCAAAGTGGGTGGAATAAACTGACAAACAGAAGCAAACATAAACTGTCCAAGGCCAATGTAAAATGTTTTTCTTCTTGATCTTTAAAAGCAATACTTCTGGTGGTGGTTATTTGGCCAACATTTTACATCTAACCTAAGGCAAATATTCACTGCATCAGCAGAGTGATATGATGAAATGTGCTGAAACTCCTGTCTTAGTCCTGAATATAGTTTCCTCTTTTTGATATATAATATTACTAAAGTGTTGTGGCTTTTTTTCCCACAATAACAAAAGATAAAAATAATAATTTAAAAAGTGAAACCTGGTATTTTCACATAATTCTATGAGTGTGGAATATACATCCTTAAGAAAAATACCATGAGACTTCAGATAATTTGTGAGTTGACAATGCTGCCTGAAATACATTAATGATGGTCTTTCATTTCAGTCTGAAAAGGAAGTGCAAATTAAAGGCTTCATTTTGCAAGTGACTTCTGTTAGGAGCAAATGAGTTCAGCATGAACATTGTGGTAAATACACAGTTAAAACAGCAGCAGGACTTTATAAATACAGTATCTGCCTTTTAATAGATAATAATTAGTTTGGATTATATGAATAACAAAGAAGGTACATTGATTTCAGTATTCCATCTTCTGATGTGTGTTTGCCTGGGATCTTCCCTGTTTATTCTCATTCAGAAGTCTACGAAATCTATAATGTGTGGTTTTGCAGTAACTTGTTACCCTAAGTATATGGGAAAGTAGGATACTGGCTGAGAAACGGGAAAGTAGGATACTGGCTGAGAAACTTGTTTCTTTCTGCTAATATTCAGAATTATAATTTTAAAAATTTCTGGATAGAGAGATAGTATGTTAGAATAATTTATGGTCTTCCATGTGGGTTATTAACAATGTAAAGTTTATGTTGCAAGACAATTTGCAATCCCTCTTCCTGTACCAAAACTCTTTGAAAGGAATGGGAGTACAGGGGACATGACACATGAATGACACAAGCGACGACTGTAGTTGCAGCCACTTTGACAGTGTCTGTGCCTGAGGACAGTGAAGTCTTTTGTTTGTCTCTCAGGAGAGTTGGGTGTGATGCCATGTTCCACTTCTCAAAAATCTGGTCTTTGTAGTGAGGGCTTTCATTTGTCACGAGTGAGGCTGTAATTGTGTTGCTGGAGCATGCTCATATGGAGCTGCCTTTTGGTTCAGAGGCACACAGCTTGCTCTTTTCCTGCTAACACACGCTCCTTTGGGGTTGCCCTGTCTAAAATAGGCCTAATATTGAAAAGAAAAAGGGACAAATGTAAGATGTTGAAATCCACGTGATTAAACAGCAGTTATTATTACAAGTTCCAGCTTTGGAATGTTTTCAAGTAAGTTTAAACTGTCTTAATCCAGACAACGTTTGTTTTGAATGATCAAGCGTTGAAGCAATAATTACCCTACAGTGTTGAGGGTAGAAGGAGGGAGAAGATTACCCTGTAATATGACAATCTGAGGCCATCCACTCCCCCATGCAGAGGCTCCAAGCAGTACACGTTTCTATTTACTGCACCAAACCCTTTCTGCCCCCTCGCCACATTAGCTTTTGTCTGAGTCCCCTCCATGGCTCCCCCAGGCTCTGCCACGAGGCAGCTTTCCCTCCTTTGTAAATCTCTCTATTCTTTCCTCTGGTTTTCTTCTGTCCCTTGCTGCTGCTGGATGCTTTCTGTCCCTTTTCCCAGTCACTCCTCCCTTTCACCCAATGTTGTATACCCATTTCTCCCACCTGTCATCTCATATGTGGATTTTTTGCCCTAAATAGCTTTTTTTCTTTCCTATCCTGCCATGTTCTTCATTTCTCTCTGAATACTTTGCAAGCAGTAGCCTTTTCTTTTAGAAATTATATTTTCTGCATCTTTGGTATACTTACTAAAAAAAAAGGGGGGGGGGGCGCAAACAGAAAAGGTGGAAAATTGACATCTTATATTGTGACTCCTATTTCTATTGCTTTACTTATTCATTTTCAGATGCATTGTGCAGACCTTTCTTTCCTAACTTTCTGATTTTGCTTCTTAGAGATGTTTAGTTCCAGATGTCCCATGTCTTTTGCTTATTCTTTCTCCTTACATTCTTTACTTTCTGTTCCCTTGTCTGCAGCAGACCTTCTCCAGAAGCTTTTCTTTCCTCTGGAAATGTGTTACAGGACAGGAGGAGGGCAGGATGCTTCCTTTTCCCACATGCTCCTGTTATTCCCTCAAGCTCCTGTTTTTTTTGAAACTGGCTTGATCGCATTGTAGACCTTGCTTTCAAGAGATATTTGTGTTTTGTTTAGTTCCCCCAGCCCTCCGCCATGGTTTTCTCTTGAGATGTGTTCTCTAGAAAGTGGGGCATACTAGATAAGCTGTCTGTATCATGGGTTTAGTAAAGGGGTAAAAGTTTTGAAGTGCGTATCTGCCCAAAACAGTGAGTTACATCATGGAGCTCATGGTGTTCAGAGAAGAGCCACCAGAACGTTTAAAAAAATTACCAAGCAATGAATGACTTTTTTTAAATTTTGTGTAAATTAACAAAGAGGAAATGACAGAGCAAAGAGATTACAGTCTGTAGATCCCTACCTGAGATATCTCCATTAAAAAAAAAAAAAGAGCCCTCTCCAGGAATGAAAATAAATATATTGTAAAATACACTGCATGGAAGCTAGAGGTAGCAAATGCACACTAAAATATGGTGTGTATATTTGGCAGCATTCATGTAATTTTATGTCTTCTGTTATACAGGAAGCCTGTCTAATTTCTTTGCAATGGTTGCTTCTGACTTTGTGGCTATGGATGTATGTAAACAAACAGCTTTTTTTTTTTTTAACGTCTAAATCTTTGTCTGTTAAGTGTGAAATAAAGCTAGGACATTGAAGTCCTTTCCTTTAATTTCAATTTCACCCATGCATACTTCTTTGTGCCTTGCGTGCTGACAAATGCCAGATCATTGATATCTTTGAATATCAGTGATATCCAAAGTTGATTAACACTGATTAGTATAATAAAAAGAGTTAAGGCAAACACACTTTTCATGTCATTCTTTCAGTAAGAAGTACTACTGAGCACATGAATCAGGTCAAAACTTTCTCATCCCTTGTGAGGCCCCAGCTGGAGTACTGCATTCTATTGTGGGGTCCCCAGTACTAGCAAGACATGGACATGTTGGAGCAGGTCCAGAGGAGGGCCACAAAAATGATCAGAGGGGTGGAACACCTCTTCTATGAGGAAAAGCTGAGAGAGTTGAGGTTGTTCAGCCTGGAGAAGAGAAGGCTTCTTGGAGACCTTCTTGTGGCCTTTCAATACTTAAAGGGGGCTTGTAAAAAGAAGGGGACAGAATTTTTAATAGGGCCTGTAGTGATGAGAACAAGGGGCAACGGTTTTAAACTGAGAGGAAATTTACATTGCACATAGGGAAGAAATTCTTTATGATGATGGTGGTGAGACACTGGAATAGGTTGCCCAGAGAAGTTGCCGATGCCCCATCATAGGAAATGTTCAAGACCAGGTTGGATGGGGCTCTGAGCAGCCTGGTCTAACGGCAGGTGTCCCTGCCCATGGCAGACGGCTTGGACTAGATGATCTTTAAAGGTCCCTTCCAATCCGAACCAAACCATTCTATGATTCTGTGATCTTCTTCAGACCATTCTGGGCTTAAACCAGTGATATTACTTGAGAGAGAAAATCAGAAATGAGTTGCCTGCAGATATGTCATAACGCTCATCCTAATTGTAAAGTATTGACCATCCTGAAATATATGTAGTCTACCAACAAGAATTAAAAAGTCTTTAAAAATGGTAAGCTGTAAAGTAAATGAAAATATTTGTGGTTTACCTTACTTGCAGAAAGAGCCATCTTTATGTATTGATCCAGCTTTGATATTTCAGGTATGGGTTTGGTTCTAAAAAAGTGTGTATGTGTGTTTGCGGTGCAACATACTCATTGTTAAGATTGCATGAACTTTCACTTTCCCTTGTCTTCAAAAATAAGCCTGAATATTCTCTGTATTAAATTGACAAAGTTAAGAAAAGTATACAGAAGAGTAGTCTTTTATGGTCAGTTGATAGCAAGTGTGCATATGTGCATTTAAATGCAAGTTTTATTAAATGTGAAGTTTCAAATATTTGCTTCTGATTGCTTGTTGAATGCCCTGCAAGCAATTTTTTTCACAGACA